ATATATAGATATATAGATATGGATATAGCAGTTGGGGGTTCATTGCCTTGCTCAAGTCAGCTGTGGCATGTAAAGTTAGCATGTATTCTAGCATGCATCTTATTTACTTGCCACACTGAGCCGCGGATGTAAATTGGCTGAATGGGCAGAATATGCAGTTTTGTGAGCTGAACTGAAAACTATGGAAACCTTGAGAACCCTGAGAGCCTTGAGAACTGCCTTTGCAAAGGCAACACCGTGTTTTTCTCGCAAGCCAATCAGAGCAGACTGGGCTGTTTCAGGATGGGAGCCTTAAAGAGACAGGAGCTAAAACTGAGCGTTTCAGACCGAAGGTGACTCCAGGTACAGTCAGACAGTCTGGGAAAAATAAAGTGTTTTCAACATTAAAGCATGTAAACATGTTCTAGTAGAAACCCAAAATACAAGCATGAACCTGAGCAGGATATGTCCCCTTTAAACTGGCATTGTGCCGGTCAGGTTTTGAATCACACCATATCCCACGTATGGTCAGAACCACAACAGACCTCAAAACCAGGATACTAGTGCATGTAAGCGTATCTAGTATTGCATGCTCCTTACTTCACAATCGTATCGGTCTTATTTAACCATGTTCTCAATCAAGCTAAAGCTATGCTAGATAGCATCCGCTGTGAACTTTGAACAGTAGTTGCCCACTGGTTGGGATTACCTCAGTGCACTGAGGCCTTAGATAGGAGATCAGTAGGGATTATCTGACACACTCAGGTATTCACGCAATGCTGATGGAAACAGTTCACACACACTTCATTTATACTGACTCTGAAGGTAAGATCTTATTCAGGATTGGCTGCAGCTTGTTGCGCAACTCTCCTGCATTCATTTACACACCGATCCCAGTACATCTGCGTGTGTGTTCTATGACGTCTGGCAGAGCGAGCCGAGTGAGTACGTTCTGTTGGTTGAATTTAGCGAAATAGTCTGCTGCATTGCTTTACTGCATAAAAAAAAACAGGAAGAGAACACTGTTTCTCACAAAGTCAGACAGGAAAGAGAATTAAGAAAATGCTATTCATCAGAGGCCGAGATGCTCGGGAGTGGGGACAGGAAGCCGTGATATTTATGGGAAATGTCTTAACTTGATGAAATACCAAAGAGTCAGATATAGGCTACAAACTGCTGGGCCGTTGGTAAATACAGAGCGACATCTTTACTAAATCAAAGATGAAAAAAGAGAGGAAAAGTAGCTCCTTTAAAGAAGTATCAAAGAGAACGTGGAGAAGAGCCAGGGACACTTGCCTTGACAGCTGCAGTGACGGCGGCGGTGGCTGCTATGCTCAGTCCCTGCTTGCCAAAGTTCACCATGGTCTCGTAGCTCCTCTCTTTGGCCTGCACGATGTACTCATCTATTTCCTGCAGGGGACACAATCAATAACTTCTCTAGCAGACAATATCGAGTACAAAGTAGTGCAACTGTAAGAGTCTGGACAGGAAATATGCATACGGATGGATGAACTTACCCTCTCTCTGGAGGACAGCAGAGGGTGCAGACACTTCCTGTAAATGAGACTTGCTCCTCTTGTGTAGGGGGACAGCAGCCAGATCACAAAGGCTATCTTCAGCTCATAGTACAGAGGAAACCTGGACGCACGCATGCACACACGCACACACACCCCAACATTAATAAGGGCTGGAACTTCATTTGGGCACAGCTCCTAGGTGCAGATTATACAAATAAAGGATCAGAATGAGCAAACAAACAAAACACTAGTTGGACGGTGCTTCAACCACCAAGTGCTTGTGCTACAAATGTTTGTTTCGGTTTCAAATGGTGTTTCCCACAACGCCCCCTGCTGGTCAGTAGAGAGAATGCCAGTTTAAGACACTTTAGCATCAACTTCACTGGACAGAACCTGAGGTTGCCTCCTGCTGACAACATTATGGAAAGAAGCTACAGAGAACATGTTGTTACATAGCACTGGGATATGACTAACAGCATTTATTTATTTAGACTGAAAGGAACAGGGTGAAACACAAATGTATAATTGGTTGACGCATCAACGCGGCATTGGAGCGCTGGGAAAAGTTGAGAGCAGCTCAACTTTTGATTTGTAGGGGTCAGCGGTTTGTAGCTTCATGTCAGCGGCTTCCATAGAAAAATGACTTGAAGAATGTTGCCGTGTCGTTCGTAACGTGAAGGCAGAAATGTTAAATGCATTCATGGCTGAATGCTCAGCTGATTTCAACTGTGTGGCTGCAACACAAGATTTCAGAACGAGACTCGTCCTTGAGCGAGACTTGGTTAAACACAACCACTTGTAGTGGACGTACATTGATGGTGAGGAGGTGCCCCGAGCGACTCCATTACAGCTCCCTCAATACTGGACCACATGCTGTAGTCCTCATCAGTCACTGAGACACAGAGACATGGGAGAGTAGGGTCCAGGATGGAAAATATCAAAGTTACCCTTTAGGGGAAATATTCTAATCTGTTGGGAAACTGTTCGACACAACATTGGTCCCAGTGCTCTACATTCTCCATGGAAACATAAACTTACTTAAAAAAAAAAAACCTAACAACATCAGCCCCACTTGTTGTCTGTCAAACATATTCTCCCATCGGTCACCCTCATTACTACAAGGCCTTTCTAATACAATGGTTGACAGTGGAATTACATATATCAGCATCATTTATATCAGCAAGATCATTTCCACCGGGGATAGAATCCTCCCGTCACCAAAACACAGAGTACAAACCAGAGGAGAGGTTAAGATCACGATGAAGTGTCATCTTAGATATGACCATGTGTGTGTGGGTGTGTTTAACTCACCATGCCAGTGTGAGGTCGGTGACGGTCTCCACCACAGTGTAGAGGGCAAACACAATCCAGTACATCATCCATCGTACCTACACAGACACACACGAACAGAGAGCACACTGAGCAACAGAGCGCCACACTTAAGAAAAGCACCGTCTGCTTGATATGGAACAAAAAGCGCCCGAGACCTCTAAAAGGGACTTTCATTTTGTGTTGATTTTGGTGGACCATGTGGAATAAAGCAGTAGTGTTTCACAGCACCAGAGTCATCTTTCTCCCTTTAGCAGGCCCAGCAATATGGGCCAGCAGCGTGGTGTCGGTGTTGGCTTCAAGTGGGGACTGGAGGAGCAGCGAGGAGAAGCTCTGCTCCTGGAGGAGGAGACCCAGCCGCCAGGCGCTGAGGCCTCCTCCTCCAGCCGGAGCTTCTGACTGCAGGTGGAAGGCTGCAGTGAAGCAGACCCGGTGGCACCGATCACAAGCATTAAGAATAACTACTCGCAGATGTTTCTCATTCTCATATAGAGCCATCAGTACTGTTTCATAACAAAGTTCCTCACAGAGAATGTCTTTGACACTTGCACTACTGTCTTTTCAAAATACATGAAAAGAAACAGCTTTATCCAACGTGCGCAGACTCCTAAACCCGGGATATGAACAAACACTGACTTCTACCTTTACACCGCTCCTGGGCAGACCAAGGTGTGCTGCCACTAGGGCTGGATATCATTTAAAAATGTATACCATTAGAAATATCAGTGCCCTTACAGTGCTACCGACAACAACAAAACAGCTTTCATGAAGTGAAAACACACTGTGATAGAGTTTAAGTTCTGAGACAAAACCACAGAAAACTCAAACTCGCATACTCCTCTTTATGGTCTGTTTGACTCTAAATGGACCATAATGTACTAAATGAACATCATGCTGTATTGAAGAAGACTTGAAACTAGAGATTGAGACCATAAACTCATGTTTACAATGTTTACTGAGGTAATAAATCAAGAGAGAAGTAGAGTCATTTTCTCATAGACTTCTATACAACCAGAGGTTCATTGTATGTAGGAGTGTCCTCCAGCTCCAGAACATGTCGTTTCCATTGAAGACAAAATCTTTATTTCATACGTAGAGATATGTTTGATATGTTATGTACATAATTATTGAGTTACTTGTATGTGTTTAAATGGTTTTTCCCTTGTCTTTAATTACTTCTATTTAATATTGTGTTTGTTAAGTTTCTCTTCTGTTGTGTGTTGTTGAATGAGAGATCTCACAGATGTGTTTATTCAACTTGAACAAAAAGCCAATAGACATAGTTTAGAGAAAAAGAAAGTACTTGGTAAGAGTTGCAGGATCTGAGGTTCATACTGATTTCTCCTCTTTCCTTTCACCCCGCACCTCTTTCCCTCTCAGGCCTGTCGTCCTGAAACCGAGCTTCAGGATTTGATTGGATTTCTCTCTTTGCTTTCATGCTGGATTGTGCCGCCCTCGCTGCTCCCTCCGTCCCTCTTCGAGGGCTTTCCAGGCTCTTCTGCGCTGGATTTCCATATCAAAGCCAGCGGTAGATGGTGGCGGGCGGGCAGACGGTCACATGGCAGGCTAGTGGTATTAGCCAGTCCCGACCGTTGCCACATGACTGAGCACACACTGACACTAGCTAATGAAATGTCAGAGTGTGTGTGTGTGAGTGTGTGTGTGAGGGAGTAAAGTCTGCGTTTGAAAGAGGGAGAACAAGAGAGGGACACACAAAAACACACACTCACCTGAACACGAGCACAAACTCTCAGAATCACACACACGTCTGCAGTCTGACTCACATTTGTGCTGGACTGGTTAATTGGTGAACACACACACACACACACACACACACACACACACACACACACACACACACACACACACACACACACACACACACACACACACACACACACACACACGTAAAGAGGAGAGAGAGTGAAACTGAGCCAGAGAGGACATCTAATTTATACATTTCAACCACTTGTGTGCCTCCACTCTTCTGTCTCTCTTCAACATCTCCCCTTTCATCTTCATCTTCATTCCCCCTTCTCTTTCTCTCTCAGCGCAGGTATTGTTCTCTCCCTCCCTCCTTCATCACATCAGCAGGGGAAGACATTAAGAGGTAACCTCAGTGAAATATACAGCGGCCATTGTGCCTTCCTGAGGCAATAGCATTTACTGGCCCCGTCTCTGAATAACTGCTTTCCATTAAAAGAGAAAGGGGCAGAGAGAAAACCCCCTGACATCAGCTCTTTCCAGCCAAAGGGCCCTGTGCTAACGTTAAACGTGGTGGAGAGAGCGGGGCAGCAGACGAGACTGACCAATAGGCTCATCCAGTAAATAACAACACCGTCAGTTTAAGCACAAGAGGGCTGTGATTATGTTCATTATCCACAAATGAGCGGAATATTGTCTCGTTTAAATCGGCCAATAGTTCGGTCTATAAGATGTTGCAAACAAGCTTCGTAATAGTATTTGATGTCAATTCAAACCAGATTTCTTTTAAGTTTCATATTTATTCTCATCATCTTCCTTGTTGCCAGTTTTTGGTTCACTTTATAAAAAGAAAAGAAATGAAGTTGAATGACATCTTAGGTAAAGAGGTCAAACTGAAACACCACAGCATGGTGTACATCTGTGTTGTAGCTATCACAACCTGTTCAATTCTAATTCCTTGTTTTGTCGAGTGATTGATGGACTTCTTGTTTGCAGGTTTCTGCACCCTAAGAGCATGAAAGCAAAGCACAACCCCACGGTGGATTGTCTCTGTGTCGATGTGGATCGTAAACATGTATTACATCACCCTTCAGCTGTTGTGTGCACATCTTTAATCTCTCAGACATTATTCCCTCTCACAGGCATCTGGGAACTACTGTAGATGGTGCTGAGCGCCTACCTGAGCCATGAGTGAGGGCTGGATGTATTCCAGGACCAGACATGGACAAAGGACGCATACACAGTTCTGTTTAAACTACATTTGGTGTCTGCATACACAAGAGAGTCCTGTCAGTCCCACCACTCTGCTGCTCTGCTGTTTTACATTAAAAGGCCATCATCCCTCCCTTTCCTGGTAGACTTTTTAATCTGAAACATGTGCAGGAAGTTCTGAGCCCCATTGACAGCAGCTTTAAAGCGACTGCAAAAAAACAGAAATAATTGGTGAAAGAAATCTTTAAAAAGTGAAAGTGTTCTCTGCAGAGTGGAAAGAACAACTCATCCAACTATAAAGACTGAAATCTCTGTTTCTCGCAAAGCACTCATCTGACCTGCCTCACACTTGGCGGGTGTATTGCTAAGGATGTGCTTTTTTAAAAATGATTTGGTGCAATTTGGACACGCGACATGTTCAATATTAATAAACTTTGAATAAACAAGCACACGACGTTCTGAAGGGCGGAGCTTTCACACATGTCGTCAGCAGCGGGGCAGACAGACGCCCATCAACTGCACTTCACTTTGGCTGCTGCAGATAGCTACCAGGAGGCAACCTCCGGTTCTGCAGAGAGAAGACGATGCAGAAGTGTCTTAAAGCTGCATTCTCTCTAGTGTCCACCAGGGGGCGACTCCTCTGGTTGTATAGAAGTCTATGAGAAAATGACTCTACTTCTCTCTT